CTTCCTAAAATGGTTACCAGAGTGCGTGTGTGCCTATCTGAGTGTGTGTGCAAGCACATGTGAGACAGACATATTGAGGGAGAAAAAAAGAGGCAGGGAGGGTGGGAGAGAGAGAGAGGGAGAGAGAGAGAGAGAGAGAGAGAGAGAGAGAGAGAGAGAGAGAGAGAGAGAGAGAGAAATAGTGATGGCCCGGTGCTTTCCAAAATGGATGGAACGTGATGGCTGGCCTGACCAGGGACTAATGTGACAGAGTCACAGCCTTTCTAGGTGCAATTCTTCTGAATTAAAAGAAAAGACATTTTTACCCTGTCCATTGTCTTAGGTCCTTTTGCTCAGGACTGAATGCAACTAGGATTATTGCATGTGGTTGATGGTGGATATAAGATAGAAATAGCAGCAAAACTAGCTGACAGTCACTTAGTACTGGCTCGCATGCGAGGCACATGCTTTATTTCACATTAATATTTGCTTGGACTTTTTATTCAAAAGATTATTTATTGGTTAATTTTTCTGTCCCAGTTTCAAGATCTAAGGCTATAGGTGTGAACAAAATAAACATGGTGGGTTTGGAAAAGGGGAGGGAGGCAAGGTGGCAGCCAGATAAGGGTGCTCCCTAGTAAGTCTGTCCAGGACCACATGTCGTAATGGTCTGTGACCTGGTTGGGATTCAGAGGTTTCTGTCTGGTGTCTGCTCTTATCTGGTTGTGTGACTTTGAGCAAGTTTTTTCCCTCCTGTGGGCCTGTTAGAATATAAGGGCTGAGCCCAGTGTCTGTAAAGGTCCTTGCCAGTTGTCCATTCTGTGGTTATACAATATGTTATCTTGATAATCTAGGAGAAATCTCTGATTGTCCCTGAAATAATGGTGCAGAGGCTCTGGGGCAACTGTCATAGCTGAGCTCAGAAGAGAGACACACATGGACACGGGCTCCGAGGGAGGGACCGCCGCACTGTCTTCTAGTCTCAGTCATAGAAGTGAGATTTCTCAATGGATACAATCTCTCTCTCTCTTCCCCCCCCCCCCCCAAGTGTGTGGGTTCTTAATACTTTCCACTTCTTTGACACACACACACACACACACACACACACACACACACACACATACCTCAGAACATCTCTAGACCCTGGTCAAAGGAAGCTCCTAGGATGAGAGGAGTCAGGGAGCAATAGGCCAACTTGGGCAACTCCAGTTCTGATCTCCTGATTGGGGCTGGTGGTACTATTGGGTTAAAATTTTTGTTTGGTTCATGCACTTAGAAGCACAGCTTCAAACACGTAATTAATATCAGGATTTGTGGATGCTGAGGCTCTAAGGAACCTTAGAGATACTCTAGTTTATAGTTCCTGACTATGAAGATGGTAATAAGTCCTGAAATGAGCTAATCAGAGAGACTGAAGAGAATTTTTATTTTCATTTTTAAAATATATTTTATTGATTTTTTACAGAGAGGAAGGGAGAGAGATAGTTAGAAATGTCGATGAGAGAGAAACATCGACCAGCTGCCTCTTGCACACCCCCTACTAGGGATGTGCCCACAACCAATGTACCCTTGACCGGAATCGAACCTGGGACCTTTCAGTCCGCAGACCGATGCTCTACCGCTGAGCCAAACCGGTTTCGGCTGAAGAGAACTTTTAAAGACCAGAAAATCTTTTAAAAAGAATAGCCCAATAGGTCAGATGACCTGTCTCTCCTGGCAGGGGCCAGATTGATGATATGTGTTAGTCCCCTGTACCTCAGAGATGCCAGGATTCTGATCCTGTGAATTCCTAATTCTCTTCCCTTCTTACCCCGTGAGTCTACTGGACTACTATTGCATGAGTCCACAAGTCTCTGATTTTATGAGCTTGTGTCCAAAGGGAAAGATATGTTTGAAGATAGCCCTGTGATTCACCCTGGTAATTGTACCAGTCATCTGAATTCACCATGCCTTGCCTTCTCAGTCTGTAAAATGGGTGGGACACAACCCACCCACCTGTTTTGGTGGCACATGGAAGCGGCATCTCTCACTAGTGATGTTAATGCTGCTTAAAGATGTCAAACCCATTAGTGAGAGCCTAACCCCACAGAGCAGGAAGTGATCCAATCAGAGCTCACAGATGGCACAGGACACACAGATTGGCTAACAGCAGAATGGGCTCTCACCACATGGGGGAAAGAAGGTGGTGTAGGTTCTGCCATCAGTGTAAAGCATCCTCATTCATGCATCCATTTCTGTGTTTGTCTAGTGAATGGTCCCCAGGTCCTGGGCTAGAAGCCAAGTGATATACAGTGAACATGTCCATAGTTGCCAATGCATGGAATTATAGTCTAGTGGGAATAACTCCATGGATGACTAGGAGGTGGAAATGTACATTTCCTTTGTAGAATAGACTTCCACAATCATAGATTATCCCAGGAGGGGCCTCATCTAGCTCTTTATTTCAGAGTGGATGGATATGATATATATATATATATATATATATATATATATATATATATATATATAATAGAACACTACTCAGTTATAAAAAAGATGTGACAACATTATGGATCTCAAGAGTATTATGCTAAGTGAAATAAGTCAATGGAAAAAGACAAAGAACATATTATTTAACTCATATGGAGAATATGAAAAAAAAGTAACAAAGGAACTAATAAAACAAACTCATAGTACAGACAGCAGGATGGTGGATACCAAAGAGGAAGAGGGTCAGGGGGTGGGCAAAGTGGGTAAAGGGGATCAAATATATGGTGATGAAAGAAGACTAAAATTTGGATGGGGAACACAGAATACACAGATGTTGAATTAGAATCTTGTACATTTAAAATTATATAATATTATTAGCCAGGGTTATCCCAATAAATTTGCAGGCCACAGTGGAATTGCTCTGTGAGGCAGTGGCAGAATCAGGACAAGGGCTTAGTTCCATTTGTGCCTTGAACGCCACAGGATTATTATGAAGATCAAATGAAGAAACACAGATAAAGCAGTAGGACGGTATTTAGTACATAGTTAAGTTCTATATATATATATTGTTTCTACCTCTCTTCCTACATACTCTGCACTGGGGAAAGAAAAGGAGGCAGAGATTCAGGGACAAAATTATATCCACAAATAAAAGGTAATGTATTATAATGCTAAAAATCATGGCTTATGAAGGCCAACTGCCTACATTTAAATGCTAGCTTCTCTACTTATTTGCTTGAGACAATGGGTAAGTTCCTTAGTGTTTCAGGGCCTCAGCAACGTGGCCATCTGTAAGCATACATGTCTCATGAACTGTTTGGCACATAAAGGGAATTCAACTAAATGTTAGATTGTACTATTATTGTTATCACATGGTGTTCCTTTGGTTGGAATTCCCCCTGTGCTTGGCTCTTGGGAATATAGGCATGGTAATGAGGTTCAGAGAGATGAAGATGAGGCAGATCATAGAGCAAGGTGGGGAAAGACACCCTAGATATAGATTCTGGAGTTTGGGATCATCAAGAATTCACCTCGTTTCCCAAATAAACTTAGAATAACCCATTGGTCCATGGAACAAAGCATTTCTTGAGGGCCTTGTTGCCATATTGAGGCCGAGATGACCGAGCCAAATGCTTTATGTGCAGTAACCCAGACCAGCAGGAGCTACCATCAAAGTCCTCAGAAAGAACACTTCATTTAGTCTGGGCAAATGCAGTGTAGCTCTTGGCATGGCTAGTGTGAAAAATTGAGCCACTAATCACATCTTAGATAAGTTCTCAAGTGACCTAGAAACAACTCCATGGGGACAGATCTCATCAACATCTCTCCTAACTTGTAGAAAAAGAAGACGGACTTGCTTCATGAAGAAGGCAACAAGAATAATTTAGGCAAATTCAATGTCAAGCAGAGACATGCCCTGCCTATGACGGAAGAGCCAGACATACTGGGGAGGAATCTCACCAATGCCGTGCTGGCCCTTGTCCTCATGATCGCTGGTGCTTCATTCAAATACCATTAAATTGCCTCACTACCACCCTATAAAAGGTCTCCCCAACTGCCAGCTCCTCAGATCACTGGCTCCTTCCAGTCGTGTTCCTATCAGCAGCGGGTAAGTCTCTGTACCTGGGATAACAACAGAATGAAAGAGAGCCGTGATGGAGGGGGCATGGAAAAGTCTGGAGGAGGGTGGTCAGGACTAGGCACTAAGGGCCATCACTGAAGAAAGCTGAGGGCAGCAGCTGGTAGGAAAGGAGGCTGGAGGGTTGGAGGAGGGTAGAGGTGTGAGCTGAGCCATCGGGCCTCTGGGAAAAGGGCTTTTCTGAGAACTGGGTAATCATCCTCTTTCGCTACCTGTAGTTGTGCCGTCCTCTCTGAGATCCATTAATGAGGGAAAGTGACAGCCTAGCTGATCCAAAGAGAAAATGGTGGAAACGTACTCAAATTTGGCCTTGTTAGGCTCTGCCAGGCTCAGCTTGACACTCATGTTGGCTTGGGATCTATTGACATGAAATTGCCTTCCCTGTGTCTGCCTGGCTGGGCAGGAGAAAGGAAGGAGAAAGGAAAGACACTCCTTTTTTTTTTTTTTAATTAAAAAAATTTTTTTTTCCGGGGGGGGGGGGGGGTGACATAGAAAAGCCACTCTTGAATGAATTGATGGCAAGGTAAACTCAGTGGAAACAACAATTTCCCAAGAAGCATTCATTAATGCAGACACTACAGTGCCTGAGGAGAGAGGAGGCTTAGAGAGTTGGGCAGAAATGCAGAGTCTTGCAAGCCCTTCATTTCCCATTGTGGAAACTGAGGCCTAGTGCTGAGTGGTGCCTTATCCAAAGTCACACGGCCAAATGGAAGAACAAGAACTGAGCCTAAGGTAGCAGGCCCACCTGAATGCCAGATTGACAGCTTATGGGTGCCCATGATCTCCTCACAGACCAGGCTATCCATGACCTCCTCACAGACCAGGCTATCCAAAGCGGGTGCTGCAGGTGCCACTGGACATCTTCCTAGTTCTGACTAAACCTTTCTTCTCAGATTTTGCAAAGCCCAGAAAGATGTGTGACCAGCAGAAGCAGGTGCAGTTCCCTCCATCTTGTGTGAAAGGTTCGGGGTTGGGGGCTGCGCAAAGTTCCCAAGTTACCGCTGTGAAATGCGCAGCTCCATGCCCAGCTCCATGCGTCACTCAGACCTGCGTGAAATGCCCAGCTCCGTGCGCCCCTCAGACCTGCGTGAAATGCCCAGCTCCTTGCGTCACTCAGACCTGCGTGAAATGCCCAGCTCCATGCCAGACAACCTATGTGAAATGTGCAGCTCCCTGCCAGACATATGTGAAGTGCCCAGCTCCGTGCCAGACAACCTATGTAAAATGCCCAGCTCCGTGCCAGACGACCTACGTGCAATACCCAACTGCCTACCCGACCCAGACGTACTATGTCCAGTACCCTTCTTATGCCCAGAGCTACTACCTTCCGTCTTCTGGGGGTGGCTCGGGCACCCAGAGCTACTACCTCCAGTCTTCTGGGGGTGGCTCGGGCGCCCAGTGCTGTGTCCCTGATCCATGCTCTGCTCCCTGTTCCACCAGCTACTGCTGTCTGGCTCCCCGGACCTTCGGGGTGAGTCCCCTGAGACGCTGGGTCCAACGGCCTCAGAACTGCAACTCAGGATCCTCTGGCTGCTGTGAGGACTCTGGGTGCTGCAGCTCCGGGTGCTGCAGCTCCGGGTGCTGCTCTGGGTGCTGCTCTGGGATCTGCTGTTTGGGAATTATTCCCATGAGGTCTGAAGGCCCCGCGTGCTGTCATCGCGAGGATGACTGCTGCTGCTAAATACAGAAACACAGCTCTAGCTCTCCTTCCAAATTCAATGCCTGCTCCGCCTTCTGGACCTTCACCGGCCCCTGCCTGCTCTCTGTCTTCCCAGTGATGTAGAACCCCGTTGCTTCACCTCCGCTCTTTGCTTCTTTATCAAGGCAGCCTGCCAGAGTTAGCACGGCCCCCAAACTTTGGCAAGAATAAAACTTTGGATGCAATCCGGTGACTTCCTGTTTGTTTATTTGGTCCATGTTTTTTTCCATTAGAAACTCTTCCTCCTTCCTTTCTGACTCTTGCTTCTCAACTAGAGGACAGGTCCACGGGGACATGACAAAGCAGACCAAGCTGGTGCAATCCCTATGCTTTCTAGAATGCTCAGAATACACCTCCCTCTGCAAGACAGCAGGATCTGACGGTGGAGATTTGAAGGTTGAAGAAGTAAAGGTTGAAGGTTGCCTGCCCTCTAATTAGTCTGAGGAGAAGGTTTGGCCAAGATGAGGTCCTCATGGTAGCATGTTTTCTGAATGTTAGTAAACTTAAAATCATCTTCCTGGATGTTGAAGGAAATGCAAAATCAGACCTGTTGGGGAGGATCACTGGATGATGCCCCTGCTACTGTGTGAGTGGCTTGAACCCATGGTGGCCGTACGGGTTACATTTTCTCATCTGATAGGTTTGCCCTCCTGAGGTCAAAGGGTAAAGGGCTGAGAGAAGAGGCTGGGTGGGACTCCCTGAAATAGGTAGGCATTCCCCATGTCAGCCCTGGTGAGGCAGCTGTGGCGGTGAGAAGCCTCCAAGAGGAAGGTGAGCCTCGTGGGGCAAGCATCTGGGTCCCAAGGCCAGTCACCCTTCATCAATTGCACGATCTTTCTCTCCTCCTTGCTATCTCTAGAGCAGGGCTGAGGAAACCTTTTTCTGCTAAGGGCCATTTGGATATTTATAGCATTGTTTCCAGGCCATACAAAATTCTCAACTTAAAAATTAGCCTGCTCCATTTGAGCAAACATTTAATTAACTCACGCCTAATGCCTTGGCAGGGCCAGACTAAGTGATTTCGGGGGCCTTAAACAGCCCACTGGCCGGACATTCCCCACCCCTACTCCAGAGGCTTGGGGTGAATTTTTATAACTGGAAACTGTAAACACACACATAAAAAATATAGGTAGATCGACAACTGCTTCAAAGCAACCCCATGAAGAGACAACATTTTTGGCAGATTCATAAACAAATGGATAAATAAGAGCAGGCAATCTCATGTTTGCCTCTAAGCAAGCTCTGTTCAGTCACCCTGGGACACAGTGGTAGCAGAAACTCATCTTGACTGCTATGGTGCCTTTGAACACTAAATTACCTGTGGCTCCACAAATCAGACTCTGCCTTTCCCCTCACCCCCTTTCCAATCCAATCCTATGAACTTGCAGCCCTGTAGCATAGAAAGAATAAATCTAAAACAACTGCCCAGTAGCGTTCGTTTACCTGGTTCTCTCCTAGCCCTGTTATGTTGCTATGTGTAACTTGTCTCTGGATCTAGTTCTCATAGTTTGGGCTGTACTATGAGTAAGGTGCCTTCAAGTGTCAACATTGGTGGCTTTTGTCTCCCAGGAAAGGCACCTGGACACTCCTGCACAATGCTGGCACGCTTATGTATAAAATTTACGGTTATAAATGTGACCTTCGAGTATTCCATTTCAGCAGGCTAATTAAAAGTTCTACCATTGCCTGTTTCTTTTATAACTTAAAAAATTGTAACATGTCCTTTCTTATGTAAGACAATCCAGATTTCCTGACTCCTGGTCCCTCTACACCAGTGTTTCCCAAACTTTTGACATATGTGTACCCCTTCTATAATTTTCGTAATGCTGAGTATCCCTCGTACTCATGAGAACGTAGAATTAGGCGCAGCTAAGTATGGTGCAGTGCATATCCCCACCAAACTCCGGTGCAACGCCTACCTCCACCAAACTCTTCCCGTACCCCTGGGGGTACGCGTACCACACTTTGGGAAACATTGCTCTACAATATTCACCTGGGACGTTCTATGAGCAATTTAAAGAGAAGGTCAAGCCCAGAACATGGAGCCAAACACTGGGAAGCTGAGAAGAGCTTCCTTGGACAGGCTGAGGTGCTCTCTGCTGGGATCTAGGCTGAGTCTGCTTTTGCATAATTGTTACAGAATAGGAAAACCTGCTGAGTAGAATTCAAACTCCACTTCCCAGTGTGCTATATTTTTCAATGATGTTTTCTCTTTCAGAAAAATGCCTATGCAAAAATTATTGCCAATGGTAGGGTTAATACATAGAGATAGACTTCATAATATTTCCCATAAACAATCAATACAAATATAGCTATAGATGTCTACATTTTTGTTTCTCATAATATATTATGTATATGTTATATATGAATGTATCACCAATATTATTAAATAGCCAGAAGAAAAATGACTCAAGTCTGTTCTTGACTCCTATAGGGGAAGGGCAGAGGGAATCGCCTTTATTGATTGAGGACCTACTATGTTCTGGGTGCTCTTCTACTCACTGTGCATGTGAGGCTTCTCTTTTCTGAGCAATGAAATGACTGATGTAAATTGCCTGGCAGGTATGGGGGGAGCAGCAAGAGCTTTTGAGCCAGACAGGTCCATTTCCTGACCCTCTGATACGAAACAAGTTATACACTCTCTCCACTCTGAGGGATCCTATCTCATAAACCTGCCTAAAATGGCACCTACCGTGTGTTAGGTCCACAAGACCTGAAGCCATTTTCCTGTTCTTGGCTGAAGGGGTTTTGTCAGTGAATCTGAAAGGCAATCTAGAGAGTAAGAGAGTGACAATCATATTAAATGGAAAAAAAAATTAAGGGATTTTCATTGTTTGGAATTTTATAGTTCTGAAATAAAATGCAACAAGAGAAGGGTTTCTTCATGGATAAAATTACGAGAATGTGTAACTCGACATTGCAAATGCCTATTGTCCCTCATTTTCTCCCCCACCCCGTTCTTATCACGACTCTGCCACCATTCTTTCTGTAATACTGAATAAGCCATTTCACCTCTTTGGACCTCTGACTCCTCCATAAAATGAAGAAGTTGGATGAGACCATCCCTAAGGACCTTTGCTATCTTTGACAGTCTGTACTTCCACGTCTTTGAATCTACCTCAAAGTTCAGAGCAATGTCTTTTCAAGAAAGCAGAAATGGGGTATAGCCTGATGGATAACTAGTTCCATTCATTCAGTGGGCAATGGGAGTTGGGCACCCAAGTAAGATAACAGCTACTCTCCTGGGCTCAGCGCTTGCAAGAAGGGAATACAGGCCAGGTTGCCAGACAGAAGTTGGCTAGGAAAATGTCACAATCAGATGTCATTCTTTGTCATTGGTGTAAGCATCTCCACCCAGCTGATGGTTACTGACAACCTGATTAGTAAGGAGATTCTGTGAGGCAGGTGGGTGTTGGAGGGGGCTGGGCCACAGGGGAAAAGAGAGGGGGTGGAATAATGTGTACAGCACCAAAGGGATGAGAAAGATTGATAGTGATTAATATCCTCAGAGATCCTCGTGGCAAGGCCTCATGTTTACTCACATGGACGATCTGCTGGGATGCCTGTTCATCTTAACTACTAGGCCATGTCTTACTTTGAAGCTTTTGTTCTTTAAAAAAAAAAAAAAAAAAAAAATATATATATATATATATATATAGATATATATATATATATATATAGATATATATATAGATATAATTGATTTTTCACAGAGAGGAAGGGAGAGGGATATAAAACTAGAAACATCAATGAGAGAGAAACATCGACCAGCTGCCCACAACCAATGTACATGCTCTTGACAGAAATCGAACCTAGGACCTTTCAGTCCGCAGACCGATGCTCTATCCATTGAGCCAAACTGGTTTCGGTGAAGCCTTTGTTTTTAACCAGTATGTGGTTCCACCTTCTAGTCTAGAACTTGAGTTCCCACATATGAAGGGCTTCAGCGCCTTTATGACAGTTGATAATCTGCTTCTGTTACAGTGATTTTTGTCTTCAACTTCTCTTCACTTCGTCACTTCTGTGCTTCCTTTTCTCTCTGGGTCTCCTTTTAAATACCATCAGTAATAATAACCAAAACTTCAGTGCAAAAGCTAGTTTACATGCTCTTTATGAATTACAAAGCAATTCCAAATCTATCACCTAATTTTGAAAAACAACCATATGCAACAGGATGGATGTCATTACTGCTTCAACGTAGCAGCTGAGGAGCCTGAGGTAGAGAGGTTAAGTGACTTGAGCCAGATGACTAGGATGAGGTGGGGCAGGACTCAAAGCCAGGTGTTTTGTGCATAGATATCATTCTCGTTTTCGTGACAGCTGTTGCTCACTTGGGTCTCCCCATTTTCCACGTTTTATTTCCTCATCCTCTGTTCTTGTTCCCGCATTTGGGGACCTGTGGCCTGGGGACAAACCAAGGTGGCCCTGGAAAGCCAAGGCAGAGGAGATGGCCTTACATCTCAGGAGTTACCTGCCTTATTCACACACTGGAACTCTCCCCTTCAGCTTCCACACCTATTATTATTAATAATATTAATAATCTATTGAAATCTATTAGATCAGTCTCCTAAATTCCATTCCCATAAAATGCATTATAAAGAAAGGTTCCCATGTTTAAATGTATCAGGAAACAATGAATTGTTTGAAACATCACACTGTCATGAACTCCATGCATACACTGTGTAACAGTGTGTCGTGCACTTATAGAAATGCTGCATTAAACATGGACAACGTGATAGTTTCCCAAAGAGGGTATGCATTTCCAACAGTTGCATCTTTCACATCACACCGCTAACAAATGTGGCCTCAGAAAGTGCTGCACTTTTAAAGATCTGAGCTGCTTTTTCAATAGAGATCAGAGAAAGGATCCACGTATTTCCAATTGACCTTCCAATTTTCACACAGTTTCTCCTTCGTGGGCTGTTTCTGGGCCATCGGATATTTAATAGATGTTCATGATACAGCTATGAAAATATTTGTTGATGTTTATCATAGATGCAGGGGGGGGGGGAAACAGTGAGTATCTACGGTGCGCTGGGCAACAGCTGGCTGTTTCTCATTAGTTAAACTCAATCATAATTAATCAAAATTCCCTACAAAAGGCAACTGATGTGTGTCTCTCCCCCTCCCCCCCGCCCCGATTCCAACAATCCGATTACCAATCCCTTTATAATATAAAGTGCAT